GCCGCCCTTCTGCGGCGCAATCCAGATTCTGGCGATGGTGGGAGGGGGCGGACGACGCGGGGGGGGTGGATGATGAACGGAGCACCCCGCAGACGCGGATGCGACTGTGGGGGAGGGGGGGGGGAGAGCGGAAGGGGGCGTCGGCGGTCTGCGAGACTCTGGAGATGCCCGCCGCAGGCGCCACAGTTTCACAATATATAGCAAGAGCCCGCCGCAGTCGACTTTTTTTCGTTCCTTTCAAAAAATGTGGATTGGTCGCGGCTGGGTCGCAAGTGGGTCGCGGGTGCGTTGCGGGTGAGTCGCGGATGGGTCGCGGGGGGGGGCGCAGGTGGGTCGCGGGGTGGGTCGCGGGGTGGGTCGTGGGTGGGTCGCGGGAGGGTCGCGGGGCGGGTCGCGGGGGGGTCGCGCGGGGTGGGTCGCGGGTGGGTCGCGGGGTGGGTCGCGGGAAGGTCGCGCGGGGTGGGTCGCGGGGGGGTCGCGCGGGGTGGGTCGCGGGAGGGTCGCGGGGTGGGTCGCGGGGCGGGTCGCGGGGCGGGTCGCGGGCGGGTCGCTGGGGGGCGACGACAACATACCGAAACCAGACCCCCAACAACGACAACAACAACAGCAACGACAACAACGCCAGACACAACATCAACACCAACACCAACGACGACACCAACAACAATGACATCAGCAACAACAACACCAACAACGACAATAACGCCAACAAAGACGCAACAATCATAATCCCCACCGCAAGTTCTCACTTCAGCCGCGCACTCGGGGACGGCGAATGACTCGCGCGCCTTCGCTCTGGCATTGCGTTGGTCTACGGGTCTGCTCCCTGTCGCACGCTCGCGACGCACGGGGGTGCACGTTGGAAATAACTATGCGGAATCGGTCGCGCGGGCATATCGAGACAGGGTGCGCTGTCGGCCACCTTCAACTTGAAATCAATTTGATTCCGAAATCTCACCACCACGTACCAAGCTCCGTAAAGCCAGCTCAGCCTCATCCTCCTCAAGATCGGGGACAGGCACAAACGAAAACACCGACTGGCACCGCTCTGGCCTCGCGCGCGCGTTCGTGTTCTGCTGGTCGGCCTTGGCCTCGGCCGTCGGCCGCGGATCGGCGCTGCCCGAAGCCGAGGGGCCCGTCGTCGCAGCGACTGCAGGCGCGGGAGGACTGCGCGCCAGTCCGTGACTCCGTGTACTGGGAGCTGGAGGGCCGACGCCCATTCTCGACGTTCTCTTCGACCTTCGCCGCGGAGGTCTTATCAGCAGCGCCAGTTGGCGCCTGGGCCGCAGCAGCTGGGCCCTTCAACGGCAGTGCTGCCGAAGTTGCGGCAGCCGGGCGTTTCCGCGCACTCTTCTCGCCGGCGCTTTTGCGCCCGGGAGGGCGCGCAGCCGGCGGGCCCTGATCCTTCTCGGCTTGAGCCTTGGGCTTCCTGAGCTCGCCCATGTCCTTCACCTTGTCTGGCTGCCGCAGATTGCTGAGCGGCATCATGAACTCCACTGCCTTCGCCAGGGTGGGATCGTCGTCGGGCGCGGCCGCGGGATGCGGCATCGGCAACTCCCCGAACTTGCAGACCGCAACTTGCAAGATCTGGGCTCCTTGGTCGCGCGGGGGCAGGAGCAACATGCGGTCGGGGCGCTGCTGGGGTTCCAAGTCGTTGTGAATGGCTGAACGCTGGCAAGTCCTACGCGGCGTGCTGCTGCAGCCTCTCCGCTTTCCGCCGCCCTGGGCGACGAACTCCGCCGCGGCGATCGCAAACGCGCGCGCCGTGCCATCTCTCCAAACTGCCTGAACGTGGTCCGGTTGATCTGCGTCGTCAGCTATGTTGATCGGGAGCGACATCTCGACCTCGCCCCTGGTGCCAGCCATGAGCTCGGTCGACCACTCGAACTTCACCTCGAGCTTGGCCTCGTCGGTCTTGGCCTCAACGGCCGCGGGGGTTCCGTCGTCGACGCACTCGTAGACCCCTCTGGGGTCCTCCTCCTCGGCGCCCTCCTCGTCGGGGTCGTACTCGTCGAGCTCGTCGTCGCCGCCTGGTTCTACAGCCTCGCCCTGCGCGTCGAAGCGCTTGGCGGCCCACGCCCGTTTCATCCTCGCTGCTTCGGCCGCGTGACTGACAAGGTTGAACACCCGGTTGGACATCGTCGCCGTCCAGTCTGTTTCTTTGCAGGGGTCACCACCCATTCTTTTTTGGTTGGTCATCGCGCCAACTATTTCTGTGAGCGACTTTATGTCGTCAGGGCCTCCTTGATGCTACATGGGAAAGACGCGTGCCTCTTGATCTTATCCTTGTCGAAAGCTGCCTTGGTGTCTCGGAGTACCAGACAAAACTGTTCCCATGCTCAATGCACTGGCGCCTGAGGATTCCATCCAAGGCGTCGCAACGCTGTCGTCGCGCGATGGCGGCGTCCATCGCCACGTATATGGGGGGTAATATGAAACATGCCCGAACGAACAACAACTGAGCCCAAACGGCCACGGAAAACACGGCACGTCACGGCGACAAGAGCACGCATCAATAATGAAGTTCACGGCGCGGCGCCCACGGCCTGAACTGAATTTCGCTGCGCTGCGGGCTCGTAGGGTCCCAGTAAGAGAAAAGGCAGGCTCTCGGGGGGACATTCGATTCAACATGTTCAGGTGCGAACGATGGTAACGTCGGGGTAGTGAACGCGCGATCCCGACCGAGAACAATAAAAATCGCATTGTCATCGACATCAGATCTTCAATCACCAGCATATGGAAATACCATAAAACAAACTTCATTTTAATAACAATAGTTTCGAGCCTGATTAAAAGGCTCGATGGGTCACGGGTTTTCCTTCTTCTATCTTGCCGCGCCCTCTTGATCGTCGCAGCATCCAGATGGCGTGAAAAAGGCTTCACTACGGCCTGGTGGGGCCCCGGGGACAAGCCGAACAAGCCTCCAAAGTGGCCCCAGGAGAGGCCCGAGAGGGTGAGCTCTAACAGTTCGAGCCCTCCACCCCAGGATGGCCCGAAGAACCTCCAAAGCCCGAGGCCTCCAAGAAGCACGCGGGGGGCCCCAGGAGGGCTCCAAGTAGCCTCCAAAGATGCCTTCGAGAGCCCTCCAGGAAGCCCCCGGGAGGCATCCCAGGATACCCTAACATGCGTCCAAGAGGCCTCTGACCCACACACAAGGCCACGGTGACGGATTCGGCCGAAGGCCACCAAATCTGCCGCCCCAATTTTGATCACTCGAAGGTGTGCCTGGCGTGCCGGACGTTTGACCTCCGGCCCAGCCCGCCGGTGGGAGCCTCGGGCGAACGATCCCTCGTTGCCCAAATCGCATCCAACACTGCCGAATTGGCTCAAGATGGACTCAAAGACGGCCTCCGAGACGGTCCCAAGACGGCCCAATATGCCCTGCAGACGTCCCAAGGGGCCCCTATGACGCTGCCAGAGGGCTCCAAGAGAATCTCCAGGAGACCGAACTCATTGACTTCTTTCGGTCTGTACATGATTTTGGCGTTCTCGCCGTTCTGCGCTTCCGTCAAAGACGACCCCAAAGGCCCCCAAACCACGGCCCAAAAGGAGGCCTTCAAGAGACCTGCAAGAACCAAGAGGGCAAGGAGGCCCCCAAGACGACCCCAAGACGGCCCCACAGATCTCCAAGACGGCCCTAAAGAGTCTAAAGATGCCCACGACTTCCCAGAGACGCCCCCAAGACGGCCTCCGAAGGCCAAGACGAGCCGAGCCTTTCGGGCCCCAGAGGCCCCAAAGAGGCCCCAGGAGGCCCCCAAGAGGCCTGAGGAAGCCCCCACGAGGCCTTTCAGAGACCCTTCTGTTCCTCCTCCTCCTCCTCCTCCTCCTCCTCATTATCATCATCACCAGCAGCATCAGCATCAGCATCAGCATCAGCATCGACATCGACATCAGCATCATCAAGCATCATCACGCATCATCATGCATCCTCGTCCTCATCCTCATCCTCATCATCAGCATCAGCATCATCATCATCATCATCATCATCATCATCATCATCGTCGTCATCATCATGATCATGATCATGATCATGATCATGATCATGATAATCATCATTACCATCAGCATCAGCACCAACATCAGCATCAGCATCAGCATCAACATCATCATCATCATCATCATCATCATCATCATCATCCTCATCCTCATTCTCATCCTCATCGTCCTCATCCTCATCCTCCTCATCATCATCCGCATCATCCGCATCATCATCATGATCATGATCATCAGCATCATCATCATCATCATCATCATCATCATCATCACCATCATCATCATCATCATCATCATCATCATCATCATCATCATCATCATCATCATCCACGTCGTCCTTCTCCTCGCTTGTACACTCCTGTTCTGTTTCTCTGACAGGTGTCCTCCCAAGAGGGTCCACGAGGGCTTGGGGAGCACGAAGTCCAGTAGCATGGTCATGACTTTGGCCCAACGTTTGGCCGCATGGGCGGTACCAAAAGGCAAGAGGCGGCGGTGATTCGCCGTACGTAGGCGTCTTTGATCCGTCGCCCCCTGTTATCTTCTCAAGGGGGTGCCTGGCGTGCCAGACGTTTGATTGTTCAGTTCCCGTGTGATGGGTCCGCACTGGCCTCCGACCCAGCCCGCTGGCCAACCGGAGAGCCCCAGGCGAGAGACCCCCCCGTTGCCCAAATCGCCGCCATCACGGCCAGGATGGCATCCAAGACGGGCAAGCTGGCTCAAGGTGGCATATCCAGGACGGTCCCAGAACGCCTTCCGGACGGCGGTGGCCTTCGCCGCGGGCGTCTCCGAGGAGGCCAATATATCGGAAGTCCCCTCGCGACCTTCTCGGCTCGGCGCTGTGGACCTCCTGGGCGAAATACGCATCCGCCCCCGTGGCCTCGCGGGCCGGGCCCCTGGGCCGCGGCCTCGCAGTCACGGGGCGATCGCGCCCTGGCGTCCAGACCAAAAAGGCCGCGGACACGGACGTGTTCGTCGCTCGCGAGGACCCCCTGTCCCCCGAGGAGTGGGGGGAGAGGCTGGACCTGGAGGAGGAGGAGGAGGAGGAGGAGGAGGAGGAGGAGGAGGAGGAGGAGGAGGTGCTCAGGATGTAGCTGGGGGCGGCCCAGGAGAGGCACCTCCCTGCAGCCCTGGCGGCGCCCTCCCGCGCCCACGGGAGGGGGGCTCCCAGCGCCGGCCCCCGAGGGAAGCCCACGAACGCGGGGCTCCGGGCATCCCGGCAGCGACATCGGCGATGACAGCGAGCGCTGCTGTCGTCGGCGCTGCCGTGGTCGTGTCCGTGTGCGCCGCTCCGCGGCTCTGCCCTTCCGAGGAGGCCCCGCGCCCCGCTGAGCTCGCGCACAGCGTCCCGCACGCCCGGGTTCGCGGTCTCTGCGAGGGAGGGGAGGCGGGGACCACGATGAAGGGGCCCCAGGACACACAAATAAATACACACAAATAAAAAGATTCCCCATATTTTTTCATATGTTCTGGGTTTTTGTCTTCCCTCCCACTTCCCATACTTTCCCATATTTTCCTGGGGATCGACGATTAATTGTGTCTGTGTGTTTTTTCCCCTCCTGAACGACCCATGGCGCCGACCTTGCAGACGTGCTGCAGCGGATCTTTGCGCGGAATTCTGCCAATGCCAAACCCGGGAACGGCGAGTGAAAAGCGACAATCATTTCAAGTGGATGTTTGATTTGAAGTCTTCATTCCTGGCTCAAAAAACCGCACCACCTCCTCCTCGAAATCGGGAACGAAACTCCTTAGGACACCCCAGGCCCATCCCATCGTGTTCCGAACGGAATCCGCTCTGCGATGTTGGCGCCACGACACGACCAAGACTCGAGTGCGGAAGAGCCGGCGCCGATCTCTGGTCAGGGGCCGACCGTTCAGGCCCTCCCAGAGGCCTACCATGAGGTCGGGCCTGTCCCCCATACAAGGGGATTTTGGGCGAAAGATGAAAAATAGCCCCCCAAAATGCCCAAAAAACTCCTAGATGGTGAAAACATCGTCCCCAGACTATTTTTTCGACTATTCTTGGAAATCCTTCCTGTGGATGGACACGCCCGACGTAAGCCTGCCACGGATTCGTGCTTCTCGTCCACCCCGGCCCTCCCGGAGGCCCACCGCGGGTCCGTGTCGACACCGCGGGGCTCGCTCGACCTTGAAGGATCGGCCGTTGCCGAAACGCCAGATCGGCCAGCATCGACCGATTCGAAGGATTGCAAAAAAAGGATTGCAAAAAAACCTTTTTGTTGCAATGCTTTTTTTTGCAATCCTTTTTTTGCAATCCTTCGGTCGCCGGCGGCCTTCAACTTTGAACGCCGGCGGCGGGCTCGCCGCCGGTCGATACGGCGCGAACCTACTGTACCACGGCGTGTTCCCAGAGCAAGGTTCTGAAATTCTGATATTTCGGACAATGTGATCAGAACATGCGGTCGACGTCTTCAACCAAGACTGTCTCAGCCAGACATGTTCTGAGGACATTTCGTGTAAGCCACACGAATATTCTCCCAACATTAGTCGGTTGGCCTAGAAGCAAGCCCGGACGTCTCGCTGCTGATCGGCGACGGCTGGTATGGACCATGACCAAGACCCACGTCTTCAGCGAGGAAACGTCGGTGTCGGTTTTGGTCATCGTCCACCTTGGCCACCATCGATTCGCGGATCGTCCAGACGGGATTGACGGCGGCGGGCATGGACTGTGACCAAGACCCGCGTCGACAATGAACATCGTTTCATCGACCCACGTCCCCATTGGCGTGGCCTTGGCCCCACTGGTCGAGTTGCCAACCTAGGTGGGGACATATGCCTGTTGCGTCGGGTTTCGCGGGGCCTACCCCTTGGAGGGTGGGCTGGTGGGGCTGAGATACCGTAGCTTAGAAAGGATGGAGATCGGCTAGAAGATGCTGAATCAAAATCCCGCGACATCTTGGCAGGAGAGCCCAGAACCGAATCAATAAGTCGGATCGGCGACTGAAGTGAACCGGATCGGCGGAAACATCGGCAGGCTGGTGAGACCTCCACCTAGAAACCGAAGATCCAGATCGGCATCCGAAATGGAACCGAAGCGGAACCAAGTCGAACCGAATCGGAGAAGCCGAAATAAGCCCTGTCTTGGTCGTGGCCTCCGCATCTCCTCCATCGCGTCTCGTTGGCGCAGTCCACCGCCTCTGGCCCTGGCATTCGCTCGGACGTCCATTCCCTGTGCATTTCTCGATTTCGCGCGTGCTGTCTTGGGGTGAAGCCAACAGTTACCCATACCGCTACTCCCCAAGGCCTCTCCCGGAGTGCGTTCTGATCCAAATTCCGAGGCGACTCCCGCGGTGGCGACCAGGGCCTCCCTGGAGGCCTAAACAAGTGGGAAAATGGGCGCAGGGTAGCGGTATGGGTACCTGCCTCTGAGTTGTTTTTTCTTGCTCGACGGTCTATGATGCTCTTCGATGGTCTCCGCCGAGAAAAAACGCACACGTCCAAGCAGGAGACCCCAACATCGAATCGATAAGTTGGATCGGCGATCGAAACGAATCGGATCGGCGGAAATCGGCAGCCGAGTCGGGACAAGTCGCATCGGCGGAAATCGGCAGGCCAGTAGGCGTCCGGTAAGAAATCGGAGCCCAAATCGGCATCCGAAATCGCATCGGAATCGGAACCCATCGAAATCGAAGTCGAACCGAATCGGAGGAGTCGAAGTCGAATCGGAGCCCAAATCGGAACCCGAAATCGGAATCGGAGCCCATCGAAATCAAAGTCGAAGCGAACCGGAGGGATCGACACGAGCCCTGCGTCCGAGCGGTGCCAGTGATGGGCCTGTTTTCCACCACGACCACCATAAGTTGGAGGGGGGAAGAAGAACGAGGACGAGGAAGACGAGGACGAAGAGAAGGAGGAGGAGAAGGAGGAGGAGGAGGAGGTGGACGAGGAGGTGGAGGAGGAGGTGGAGGAGGAGCAGGAGGACCCTCTCCCTCTCCAACTTATGGTGGTGGTGGTGGAAAACATCATGCACAGCCAAGGGCCTTGAAGGCGCAGCCCGCCGCGTCGAGCAGGCGCACGGCCCGCGCGGAGGCGCCGCGGAGCCCCGGGCCCAGCTCGCCCTCCAGGAACAGCACCACGGGGTACTCGAGCACCTGCGGTTACAGTGCGGGCGCGGCCGCAAGAAGCCCTCGCAGGAAACCCAGCCCTGAAGACCCGCTCGCGGGGTGCACCCGAGGGGAAGCCCAGAGCACGCTGAACGTAGCAGGTTCTGTATCGGCTGCGGGAAGTCAACGCGCAGCGCGCTGAGCAAAGAAACCTAGGATACCCTGACGAAAAGTAGATGGTTTCTTGATGCGCGCCCCCACTGTATTCAAAAATCCTCAACAACACATCGCATGGGGACTATGTTTCGATTATGTTGTGAGCCCTGTTGAAGATCTTTTGGATATTCCAGACGAGCGCGTTCCAGTACTCGCGGGGTAACTGCTCGCAGATGGTCTGGATCCGCCGCGGCGGCAAAGTCAAGTTTAGCACGAGATTGAGAGCGATCGCCCATTTGAGCGACAAGCGCAGGACAAAGTGCTCGTCCCAGCTTTCCTCGGTCACGCCACTGTGTCCAGATCTGGTGGCTGAGCTCGATCGCAGGGATGCTGCTGCGCGCAGGGCTGCATGTAAGAACGGTCACACGCAACCGTTGTCTTCCCAACAGGCCACGACAAGACACGGCAAGCGAATTGGTAGAGTAACCATGGCTTGAAGGCTCTGTCTGTACTTTAATGTTTAGCGGTACGTTGAACTTGAGACGCCTCTGGCAATCCTTGCTCAATAAAAAAAAGTCGCTGACATACAAGCAGGCATGTGTGTGTCTCTTACGTTTGCGAGCAGGCACTTTGCGAGTAGTGGAACGCGCTCGGTGATTCGGTGGCAAATCATGGGAGCCTTGTGTGCCGCCGTGATTCTATTTTTGATGTACTAACGTCGACCAGCGTCGGGCAGTCGATGAGATAATGCCTTCGCTCGCGCCGTGACCGCTTTCGGCCTCCAGGGGTCCTCGCCGGGCCCTGGGACCGCCCAAACACGATCCGGGATGAAAAATCGGTCCTGGGGAAAAAGTCGGGACTTCCAAGGCACTCCAGGCTCCAGCGCCTCGGCAGAGTATTCTCGTTCTGCCAGCGGCGACTTGGGTCCAACACGCGGTCAGGGCAGCCGA